GATATCTCAATGGAGGGACTTTACCTGCATGGTACGTATGATCTGAAATGGGTTCGATGAAGTATTTCTTCATCGTGGTTTAGGGACTATGGCACATTGCTAGATGTTTACCATAGTCGTTGGGCCTCCGGACAGGTTTCCGGATTCATCCAGAACCGGCTCACGGCTAATCCACGGTGGACCTACATGGTCACACCAATAGCCTTGAGAAGTTAGAGAAGGATGAGAGAGAGAAATGATTATCCGAAGAGGGCTAGCACCTTCCGAGGGTAATGACGGGATTTCTATGGTAATAGTTACATAGAAAATTGTTTGTGACATTTTAAGGGTTAAAATGGTCAAGCAATAATTAATTATATTTAATTATTATATCTTAAAGCGTTAAGATTAATGAGATGAACGAAAATAACCTTTTAATAGTTAAAGGGTAAAAGGGTAAATTTATGGGTTGTTAATGTAAACTAGTTTAGTTTACATGGGCCCTTGAATAATATTGATTATTCAAAGGGTAAAATAATAAATTTGTGGGCTCCTTTTGAAATAAGATTTTATTGGGGCATGGAAATGAAAAACAACTAATTGCAAAAATTGCCCAAGTATATATAAATGCAAATGGTTGCATTTTAGTTAATTATTCACTTTGTTCACTCAAAAGTAAACTAAAATCTCTCTCTCTAAGCCACAGCCACTCTCTAACTCTCTCAAGGTGGTATTAAAATGTGGAGGTCTCATCATTTTGAGTCTTGGCTTCATCAACCTTAAGCAAAGGAGAAGGTATAAGTTTCTTACATTTAGTTTGAAATTTTTGTATCCTATGCATCCAACCTTTCATGCTTTCAATCTTCATTTCCGTCACTCTTCATGCATGTTGTTCTTACAGTAAAAAGGGGAAGGGACTTGAAATTGAAGGGAAAAACCTACTCAGTTTCTGAAATTTAAAGACCTTGTTGTACTTAAAGAAAAAATATTTGGTTTCGTATGGTTCTACATTACTTGGATAACCAAATATTCCTCCCTCGATTGTTGATTGCTTGGAGAGGTAGTACGAATCCTTATCTTTGCTCTTCTTCAAAACATAGGCGCATGCGAGCTCCAACGCCATTGGCTCTCCGAGGTCATGCTTGCAGAATGACATATACATAGCAACTGATATCATATATGCATTCGGCGTCAGCTAGAATGGTGTGACCTGGAAATGGTCGAGAATCTACCTGATGTAGGGGTGGAAGGGAATTCTGACTCCGCATTTGAAAATTGCTTTGGAGATCGTAGCCATTCCCTCGGGAGGATCTTGAGCCATGTATTGCTTCTTTTAGAATACCTCTACCAAAATCACGTATTGGTCTAACGCCTTCTGTATTTCCTCCAGCATGGCAATTGACCTTATCAACTTCCCAGGTCCTATAAAAGTACGCGGTTGGTGTGAGCTTTCACCGCCGGCTTTTCTCATTTCAAGGATCCTTATTGGCTCTAATGTCTGTAAAGGTACGACATTCAAGGGGGACTCAAACCTAGAAAAATCTACTTCATACAACGACTTAGAAGAAGTAGAGGAAAGCTCTACAGTTTTTGACATGGCCGTCTAGTTTCTACCCCTAAAAACTCTTAATAATTGTCCTCTAGGACTCTTTACCCTAAGTTTTTAAACTTTTAAGTGTTTTTCTTGAACACTACCCAGAAGTGCTCCTTTCCTAACCTACCAGATACCTATAACCACCATGACTGTAAAAAATTGTATAAATGTAAAAACGAGTAAATGAAAGAAACTTATTTACTTCACAGTCATCGGAAATGGGTGCTCTGACGTAGTGTTGGGTTCTCATGAACTGGTGAAGGGAGAAAGAGTTTTTTGAGAACAAGAAAATGGTGTTTTCTCTTTGAAAAATTTTGGGTTCTCTAAAAAATTAGGGCAAATTTAGGGTTTTGTGTGAAGAAAGTGACGCTACAGCTTCATTATAAGCAAATTTTGGGCGGGAGTTCATTCTTGGCCATAGATCGTGACCACGTGTCATCGATCCATGGGAAGAGCAATTTCCATGCCAGGCAGAAACCAACCGACGTTAACCTATATCAGGAACGTCAACGCCGGCGTAATTATCTCTTCCGCAATTAATGCACCTTCATCTGCATTTAATGTGCCAAAAGAGAATGTCATATTAGTATGACTTGAATTTAATGTTCATAACTGACACTTAATGCGCACAGTGACACGTCTATCAGATAAAGATTAGTTTATTGATTGAGCCAACTATCAAATGCGACAGATAACATTTGAAGAGGTCGTTCAAAAGAGACATTTATCCAACATGTCAAACATGAACACCAAACAAGATGATTCAAAATTTTCAGCCATGGGAAAATTAAGTTTTTCAGGTCGTGAGTGACAGTCAGAGTTCAAAACATCCTCCAATGTCTCAAGGCAAGGTCAAGCTCAGGTCGGTAGATCTTAGTGAATGATCACATCAGGTCGCATGCCTTACTCTCAAGTCATAGTTTACGACTTACAGCCAGATCGTAAGTCAAGCCAAAATTTCAGAAGTCAGATTAAGCAACCAACTTCAGGTCACCTGCAATGATGTGATTGCCTCTCAACTATTAGCTTGAGCGAGCATCTCTGAAGTCAAGTCAGGTCGTGACATAATCATGAACTTCTCAAGATCCAATTCCTTGAATCTCAAGAACCGGGAAGCTTCTGTTATGCCTAAAGAATCAGGATTGACATAAGTTGATGTTAGTAAGCACCAATCACAGTTCAGGAAGGCTTTACGCCGTCAGAATCTACCACATCGCCAAGACAGGAAGAATATAGTTGTCAACAACCCAGCCGATTCAAGTTTTGTTTGTGAATGAATTTGGTTCGCATACTTGTCCAAGCCCCATTTAATTTAAGGATATTTCCTAAGTTATCAACCAATGAGGTGCTAGGAAGGATTTGCACGACACCTACCCACTTGCAGATATGTAATCATTACCTTGAGCTCAGCAGGTATAAATAGGCAACTCCCTCTCACAAAATCGAGATCAAACACTCAGAATTTAACATAGAAAATAGCAAAGACACCCTACGGGAAAGAGACTGGCTTAATGTTCTCTTAGAATACCAAGCACTTGTAATTCATATCATAGTTTGCGATCTCTTATAAACTTAGCTTATCACCAAGAACACTCATATAAAAAAAAAAAACAGTGGATGTAGAAATCGTTTTAAGTATTTGAACCACTGTAAAATTCTCATCGTCTCATTTACTCAAAGTCTTTGCATGCCACTGTGATAATAATACCCCCATAGTCATTTTACGTGTAATTTCTAAGATGTCTCTTAGCACTTTACACATGCGAAGTCGTTGATGTCAAGATCAAGCATCAACAATATATATTCTTTTTAATTTATCCCTCTTGAAAAGAAAATTCTGGTTTCTCCCCTGTGTTTAACAACAACCAGATTATCCCTCTTTTCGAGGCCGATAATGAATCCTTTGCCAATGAAACCTCTGCAGTAAGATGGATAAAAAAGAAATATATAGATGATATCTTCCATAACGAGAGACGAGGTGACACCTAAACTAAGTATATGATGGAATTCATATTTATTTCTGAGGTAGCTTCCTTATACAAATGTATGTTGCAGCAAAATCCTTAAGTTCGCAATAATCCCTTAACTGTGTGTAGTACATTCAGCTTTGGGAATCAAACCTTTGACTTAAATGTCATTAATGAAATCTTTTACTTCAAAAAATTTTCCTTTGTTAAGAACCCAATAATCAAGCTATTATAAATCATCTTGCCTGGACTAACTCTTTGGTCCATCATTTCACTATGTAATGTCATTGCCTTTTGAAGATCTCGATGCTATGCATAATAGTGAATGAGTGCATTGAACACAGGTAGATTAAGAGGCAAATTAGTTTGTAACATTTCTCTAAAGAGTTTCTCTAATACTACAGTTGCCTCTTTGGGGTTCCCCTAATTAGATAGGATGATAAGTATTTAGAGTTGTTGTTATGAAAACTCGCAACAACCAGAGATATCCATCAACCATGGCGAGACTAGGTAAGATGTGTATGTGATTATAAATAACTAGCTAGGAACGGATTGGTGAATGCGTAATGCAAGAACACAAGAGACTTTTAAAGTAGTTCAGTGAGTTATAACCAAGCTTACGTCCATTGCTACATTATTGCTTATTTTTGTTGTGTACACAAAGTGATTACATGGGGGAAAAACATGTAATAACGAGCTAAGACTCTCTCTTAGTGATTTCCTATGCTTGTATGAATAATAATTGGTCGATCCCCCAAAGTGGAGATGGTGCCCTTCCTTTTATACACACAGTCTGATTTAACGAAATTAAATTGAGATTTTGAAAAGCATGGGAAATATGTAACATTTGAGAAAGGATGTTTTTATAGATTATATCAACATGTAAAGTTTAATTTGTAAATTAATTTTAGAAAAATTTGCATATAGAAATGTGTTGCACTAATGTCAATATCCAGCAATCATATAATATATATGTTCAATAACCTAAACTTTTGACTTAAATTATAACTCTAATGGTTAGTCATAGATTTAGAGCAATGACATGGTTTAATAGTTTATATGTAAATCAATCACATATAACATATAGCTCGTTCAATAAAATACATGAAGAGTAAAATTATTGTCTGCATTCAATAAATGGTCTTAAATGTAATTATAATATATATATATAGTTTCTTGCTGGACTTATTGATTATGCATTGAATTTGTGGTAGGAGAAAATGATTGAGATGCAAGATGAAACTCAGGTTGGGGAAAGTGCAAGAAGTGAAGCTGAAATTTGTGAGGAAGTGCTTGGTAAAGCTTCTGGCTTCAACCAGAATTTTGCTTTTTGTGTGACTCAGCAGCATGATGCAGTAGAAGCAACAGAATTAAGGTGCATAGTTGAACAACAACAAAATAGTATTAAAGATTTAGAGGAGTAGCTCACACAATTTGATCAACAGAAGGAGAAAATCAAAATGCTTGAAGAACAACAAGCTCTTATGTTGGAGATGCAGACTCACATGACTACAGTAGCTGCACACGCACAACCTGCTACCGCTCCAACTCGACTGCCATCTCCATCTCCAACTGATGAGGAATCTTCCTCATCTGTTACAGCTGCTTCTAGAACCTTAATTGGTAACGTTTGAGATGCTAACATTAATGGTTAGTTTTTTATTGTATGGGCAATAGATATTTTGACATGGGGATAGGCTAATCTTTTTGGACTTTTTGGGATTGCTTGCACATATCCTTAGATGGTGTATATGGGGTGGGCATTTTGTTTGTTGGAGTTATGCATTAGATAGATAGATACTGATGAAAATGTGAAATCATCTCATACTTAGCTCTGATGAGCTTGTTTGTGAAATCATCTCTTATGGGAGCGGCATGTGGGACAATACTAACTGCTAGATCTTGGTATAGTTTGTAGACAGTTGGCACAAATATGGCCGTCAGAAAATCATGCACAACAAGAGTCACATATAACACAGAAATAAGTCAATAATTAAGTTGCTATGAGTTGGAATAGAGAAAACATATACCTGTTTAATTCCCATATTCCAAGATTTTTAATGCAACATATGGAGTAAATTGTTTAATACAAATCCAAATACATGTTTTCCTTACCTGAAACTCAACCATTGATAACGAGATACTAACTGAAGTCAGTTGTTCGAAAGAACTGTATTTCCTTTTCCTCTTCGCCATAACTGAATATTGTTACTTGTATATTTCATTTTGTGTGATGAATCCGTAAAATAGAAAGATTATCATCTAAATTTGTTCACATTGGTGCATTTTACACCTCTCAGTTTCTCCTATATATAACACTTTCCTTCTCTCATGTCATCAATATGAAAATACATTTGACTGCTAGTTTATTTTTCTGGTCTATTAGTTACAACCAATTGATCTACAACTACTTACAGGTTAAGTTTCTTCACCAACTATTTTTTATGTCATCCATCATGTATATATGTCAACTTTAAAGTTTAAACCTGTCTACAACAACTACAAGGGATCGCAATTAAGAAGCTCTAACATGTGGCATATTGTAGTGTTGATATTGCACTTGTCATCAACTTGGGTTGATGGAGTTCAACAAGTTCCTTGTTACTTCATTTTTGGAGATTCTTTATTCGACATTGGGAATAATAATGACCTTCAAACCGAGGCTAAGGCTAATTTTCCTCCATATGGGATCGACTTTCCAGGAGGGGCTACGGGAAGATTTACGAATGGTCGAAACATGGCAGATATTTTAGGTTCTCTTCTAATGAATTTCTCCACATATAATTACTGTAGTTTCACTTTGAGAAATTAGTATCAAAATGATTAATTGAAGTGTTGTTCTTGCAGCTGAACTTCTAGGATTTGACGGTTATATACCATCTTTTGCAAGTACTGAAAAAGGTCAACAAGACGTTTTCAAAGGTCTAAATTATGCATCTGGAGGATCTGGAATTCTTAATGGAACTTCCAAAAACCACCTTGTAATACAAACACTCACTGCCCTTTTCCATTTGAAGTACTTTTAAATTATTTTCTTTCAATAAATTTTTACACATATTTTATGCATTGCAGGGAGAAGTGATTAGCTTGGACCAGCAGTTACAGAATCACGGGAAAATTGTCTCAGAATTTGTGAGAATAAAAGGAGACAATAAATCAGCAAAAGATCATCTAGGACAATGCATATATACAATTGGAACGGGCAGTAACGATTACATTAACAATTACTTCTTGCCTGTCTTTTATCGTACAAAGAACCAATATACATCAGAGCGATATGCCACCGTTCTTATTCAACAATTTTCACAACCATTAAAGGTGTGTTCGTCGTCATTTCTTTAATGTTAATTCTGTGATTTTGATATTGCTTATTCTAAAACAATTTCAAAACTAAAATACTCAGTTTATAAATGTGCTAGGACTTATACAACTATGGAGCGAGGAAGATAGCAATATTCGGATTAGGTTTACTTGGTTGTACTCCAGCAATTCTTGCAATGGATGGCACAGATGAAATCATATGCGTAGACTCCATGAACTTGGCAGTCAAGCAATTTAATTATAAACTCATACGCCTAGTGGATAAACTCAACAACAATCTTCCGGGTGCTAAGTTTAGCCATGTCAACGTCTCTGGGATTTCTTCTACCCCTATACCTGGTACTATATATGAACATAATTTTATGATTTTTTCTTTATTATTTTCTTTTCTGGTATCCGCCCTTGGGCTCCATGATTGTATGTTTTTATATCTTATTAGTGTTGATTATTTCAGGAGTTACGGTGATGAAGACTCCATGCTGTGAAGTAGGAAATTTGACAGTGAATAACGAGGCGTTAACATGCACTCAATTTGGTAATTCATGTCCTGATAGAGCTAAGTACACATTTTGGGATGGAGTGCATCCAACCCAAATTACCCAAGTCTTTATCGGAAAAAGAGCATACAAAGCTCAGTTTTCTCTTGATACTTGCCCATTTGATATTCATCACCCGGCTCAACTTTAATATATAAAATGACTAAAGTTTGAACCACTCAATTTTATTTATTTATTTATTTTTATCTTATGTAACAGTGTATTATTTATTTTATGAAAAATATCTCTTATATTATTTCAATTTTCTAATTCTTATATATATATATATATAATTGTCAAAATTACTGTCAATGAAAAAATACAAATACTTTCAATGCAAATTCTTGTTTTTCAAAACGCGTATCTTATTTTTAAAAGTGGATTAAAGACAATACATATACCATTAATTTGAATTCATTATAATCTTGTTGAGAAGAGAAGCAAATTTAATTTCAATTTAAGAATTTAAAATATAAAAGAAGAAGGGTGTTAGAAAAAAGAGCACAAAACGATATATATAGAATAAATTCTAACTAAATTTTTGAGAAATTACATAACTAAGAGGTATTCTTTTAAAAAAAATAAATCAAACAATCTTGAATTATAATAAATTTTAAATTTGGATTTAAACTATAATAACTATTAACAAAACTGTATTACCTAACTTTCCCGCTTCTTTCATTTTGTCCTTCTTCCGCAACATTTCAGTAATGGATTTTTGTCATTGAGGATTATGTAATCGTGCTATAATTTTTTACTTCTAATAAAACCGTAATCTCTAAACCCAATTGCCCCAACAACAACAAATAAAGTATGTATCCGACACCTGGAGGCCCGCCGTCGCCTAACTTGGGGACTGGCTACGCCATGTTCGGCCCTGTTGGCCACACAACCACTACACTCCGTCACACTTAGCCGCACAACCACCACACTCGACCACGCTCTGCCACTGCACTATCTGCCACCTAACAACCAATCAGGTAACCTTTAACTCCATTCGCGGNGGATATGTTTTTCATTTGTATAATATTTGATATCTTTGGAAGATTTATTAAACAAATTGAAATGGTTGATGAGATAATCATGCATGACTGTCACACTAGTTTGTATTAAATTAATTTTTATAATATTATCCAATATCTAAAAAGATATGTTGATTTTATTTAATAGCAACAATGTCATTATTACTATACTATATAGAAACGGTTTTTTTTTCCCACCCAAGGTTTGCCTTAATGACATTTCTTTCCCAAAAAATTTCAAAATACCATTTTTTCAACCAAAGTTTGTATTCCGATAATATCCAAAATACATTTCACTTTCTTAGTAGAGCGTTCGACGAGTTATCAGGAGCCAAGATAAGAGAAATTTTGTAGAGTGGAGACCTGTGGATCGAATGGTGGTGAACAATTGAATATTCGCCACCTGGATCAGTCGGAAATCAACTAAGAACAGAAAACCCTAGTTTTACGATGACCGACAATTGGCGAGAAATCAGGTATCAGAGTGAGAGGAGTTTTGTAGAGAAGAGACAGGGGGTTCAAATGGTAGTGACGAAGAGAATTTTTGTTGTTGGCAATAGTTGGAATTGACTTTGGACATTAACGGAATATAAACTTTGGGTGGGAAAGTGATATTTTGAAACTTTTTGGGTGGGAAACGGCATTAAGGCAAACCTTGGGTGGGAAAAGTTGTTTACTCTATTATATATACTAAAATTCTTAGATATAACACTAATAAATAAAGATTCACTTTTATTTCCTTTTTATAAGGAAAAAATTGGTTCTGAGATACTTGCGCAAACTGATCCGGCAAACGCCTAGTGAAATTAAGTCTAAATTTTATCATACTCATATGAGAATTTAGAAAATAGAAAGTTTATGTCTGGGATGTCCATGAGGGAGAAGAAATATACATTCATCTCTATAGTTTTTCCGAATAAGAATGTGAAAACTTTGCCTTTTTTTTTTGGGTAAACTCGATAATTGTATAAAGAATAAAGAATAATATACACAATCCAAACTCTTGGACAGGGCCAAGAGATGATCTGTACAAACAAAAAACAAAAGGAAAGAACCCCAATCCTAATGCCCAAAAGCAGCCTGACAGGCACCAAAAAACCACCCAGGTTGCTGCAAAAAGGATAACCAGACCTTATACAAGAACAGCAAAAAAAAAAACCAATGAGCAAACGAGCTGTTGCCCGCAAACACTTCAATATTAGCAGTTGCCGGTAGAAAAAAAAAAAAAAAAACACTGTAGCACCTCATTGGCAGATCACCAATGACAACATCTAACAAAACCCACACTGTTACGCCTGGGAAATCAAGGGCTGACGTAGGAAATCACGTGATGGGGTGTGACCTGCTCCTGTCAGAACGGTAAGCACACGTCAGGCCTGCCAAACGCTATGGAGCTCCCACGTGTCCATTTTCCTGCTCCAAATCGCGTGAAATCAGTTTGGAAGGTGGCAATGTGACGTAAAGCCGAATTTAGTCCTGACAATCACACCAACCCATGGATTTAATGATGATTACTTGCACTCATCTCACTATAAAAAGAGGAAGACCCCTTCATTAAGGGGATTCGGCGATTTTACACTCTTAATTAGCTTTCTCTCTCTCTCTCTCTCTCTCTCTCTCTCTTATAACTTTGTATTTACTTTTTTCCAATCATTTGTAAGTCAGTCCACTGTTGCGACCTGACCCACTATATTAATACAAATCAGTGGACGTAGGACTTGCTACCTTAGTATCCGAACCACTTCAAAAAGCTCTCATTGCATTTACTCTACATTCTATCCATAATCACGTGTGTCTCTTGACCAATCAACGTTACGCACGTGTCGATTAGTTGGTGTCAAAAATCACGCATCAACAGTTTGGCGCTAGAAGGAGGGCCCAGATTTAGTGTTCATCCTTCATCAGGAGAATCTCTAACCTACTGGTCCTACAACAACAAATGGCCCGCCAATCTGAACCCGAACAAGCCAACCAGCGCGCTGAGGGAGTTCCCCAGACCCAAGGGGACACCTCTTCCAGAATACTTCCAGCCCCACAAATTGCTACGGTGGATATCCCAGCAGCTTCGCAGCTTGACCCCACCATCAGAAGCTACCTGGAGAGGTTCGACAATACTCTCCAGACGGTCAACCAAAGGCTAGACCACCTGGACCAAGGCGTGCCATCTAGAACAGTTGGGGCAGTGCAACCGCCAAAAAGGCCTGCAGGTCGCGCGAAAGCGCGGCAAAGGGAAATAGCTCGTGCCGCGAGCACTACAGCGCGTAGACGTAAGGGTAAGCAAGTGGCAAAAAGCAAGCCTACGAGCTCCAAAGGGCCAGCGAACACAAACCGTGCCCCGAGCAGGGTGCCGACAAAGCTGAGACTCGGCGAAAAAATAAATCCCGAGCTGTCCCATGCCACGTCGCAGGTGAACCCAAACAAAAGTGCTGGGCGGGGCGATTCTTATCACCGCCAGCAGAATGATCCTAATCGCTGTCGTGAGGATGGTCCTTACACCTCGCGGGGCGGTTTGTACCACCGCGAGGGTCGTGAAAATACCCCGCACCATCCATCTCCTTCACACGCCTCTAGCCAGCGTGTGTCGAGAGCGACCGAAAATGCCAGCCGAGGCGAAGAGGAGTCCGACCTCCGGACTCTCCTGAACCGTAACCGCGAGGGCTAGACTCGCATGGGTGAAAGCAATCCCCAGTTGGCTCCGTTATCACAAATTGAGCAGCTGCAGCGAGCTCTGGACAGCTGAGAGAGCAGCAAAACGAGCAGGCCCAGGTCGCCTCTGCATCCCCCTTCTCTCCCGAAGTGTTAGCTGCTCCACTCCCACCAGGTTTCAGAATGCCCGACATGCGGCCGTTCGATGGGAACCATGACCCGCAGGATCATTTGTATGAGTTCAATGACCTGATGGAGCTCCACCATGTTTCAGATCTTGCAAAATGCCGTTGCTTGGCTGTGACGCCGACTTCTCATGCCAAGCGGTGGTTAAGGTCGCTCCCAGTGGGAACGATCAGTTCGTGGCCTCAGATGAGCATGACGTTCCTACGGCATTTCCAAGCAAATCGGAAGTTCTCGATGCCTTTGAGCTATCTCAGCAACATAATGCAAGAAAGGGACGAGTTCCTATAACCTTATATCGATCATTTCCACAGGGAACTCAACAAGGTGGCTCACGCCCCCGAAGAGTCAATCCGAACACTCATAATAGCTGGAGTTCGCCCGCAAACCGACCTGTGGAAAGAATTACAGGCTGAGGATGATGTTTCCCTCACCAGATTCTATAACCTCGCAGAAAAGTACCTCCGCATAGAAAATTCATTGGCGACACTACGTCGTCGCGATCACGGATCTTCAGGCAATATGTCTGGTCGGGGTGAAAGTAGAAGAACTGATCGCAAAGGAGACATTGACGATTAGCGAAAAGGGAAAAAACCCCGCTACGAGCACAAAAAGTCCTATGCCCCTGTTCCTCGTCGTGACCGCGACAAGCCCTAATATACTCCACTGAACGCCTCTGTATCTATCATTCTTGATAAATCCGAAGAAGCCAGTCTGCTCGGAGAACTTGAACCCATGAAAACCCCTACGACAGCCAGAAATAATAAAAAGTACTATCGCTATCATCGGGACAATGGGCACCATACTGACGAGTGCCGAGCCCTGAAACAAGCAATCAAAGAACTTATCAAGAAGGGGCACTTCAAGGAATACATCGATGACTCTGCTCCCTCGAAAGAGAAAGATCAGGGGGAGCCAAGTAAGAAGCGTCGCGATCAGAAAGCGGTGCTCGGTCTCAACTTGATTTTCGGGGGACCGCACTTCGTTGGAAATTCACGAGGTGCCCAAGAAAGGTATGCTCGTGAAGCTCATCACAACCCCATTAGAGTGATGAGTGCGGATCGACGACCATAAAAGGTTCGCTGGGAGGAAGAGATTTCCTTCTCCGAGCAGGATGCGGCCAGGTTACACCATCCCCACGACGACGCCCTTGTAATCACTCCCCTGATAGGGCGCTATAATACCCAGAGAATGCTGGTGGATAACGGGAGTGCTGTGAACATCCTGTTCGCATCCACCTTTGAAAGGATGAATCTGGACGAGGCCAACCTGAACCCTGCCTCGTTCCCGCTATACGGAT